TGTTTGAAATTTTAAAACCAATTCTGAATGAAGGAGAAATCGCGGTTCAAAATTGAAAAGAAAAGAGGAAAAATTCATAGGGAATTTACCTAACTCTACTGCCCGCCTAGCGCTCAAATGTGTTGACCTATGGTTGACGTCTCGTTTTGATTATCACAAACAAATTATGTTTATTACTAACAAATTGATCTTAAGTGTCCATAGTGATTATTGCACATGAATATATTTTATGGCACAAAGTTCGAGGCCAGTAATTTGCATACAATGGCCAACGTGGAAACAAAATCAATCGAGGCGATGAAGAATGATATTACAAAAACTCGCAAAAAGATGCCTCAACTAAAATCGAGACAAAAGTCGAAGTACCGTCAAGAAGCGCAAGCCAAGATATTCAAAACAAAGTATTTAAACTTATCACATGTAAAGGTAAAAATATTTCAATACTTGGTAATGAATCGTGACGAGCTCAAAATTTTAAATTTATGATCGAAAAATCACGACAAAAATATTTTTAATCGAAAAATAGGTTTTCAAAGGTAAAAATTGGAACATGTATGTTTAAAACATAACAGCACTTTGAAAAACATTTTAAAACGTCTCTCGAGTACCTACATTTGATGAAAATAAGAAATGGGGACATTTCGAGCCAAAAGTGGCGTACCAAACGTCCAGTATCCCAATTTTTGGCTCCAACAGTCAAATTTCCAACGTTCAAATTTTCCGACAAAATTAACGTATATTTGATCGTTCGGTATTTACCAGATGTCCGGTACGTTGCATCCGATAAGACATATTTTTTTGACCGTTTGAATGCTATAAATACCTCATTCTTTCTTCTCTTGCAACAACCATTCTTAAGCATAAAAGAGAGGCTTTTATTGATCATAACACCTTATTCTCCATAATAAGAAGATCAATAGCATTAAAATCTTAAAAAACTTTTGAGCGATTAACTTTGTGAAAATCCTTGATTCTTCAAGAAATTTTTCATTTCAACACTTTGAGCTATACTCATTATCATCTATTGAAGTGTTTGCTTCTTCTCTTCTTGTTATTAACCTTGAATCTATCATTCAATAAGAAGAGAAGATTTCACTTGTAAAATTATCTTGAAATTGGGGGTCATGTTAAGTCCCGAAAAACTCAACATTGTAAAAGGATCGGTGCTCCTTGGTTGTAAGTCACCGGAAGTTTTGTAAAGGGTTGGATTGCACCACAAGTCAATCAACATAGTGAAAAAGGTCTTGTTCGTGATGGAGAACTTGGTAACGGGGGACTTAGATCATTGCGTTGGATCAAACCTCCATAACATATCGTTTGCACTCTCTAACTCTTTACTTAACATTTTACTTTGTGCAAGCTTATATCATTCCATCTATGTGGTTATTTTCATTTAGTTTATTTTTTTTTAATCATTTGTGTTATCATTAGTTTAAAATCTTGTAGTAGTTAACAAAAAATTTTTAAAAACCAATTCACCTCCTCTTGGTTAGCCAATCTGGAGCTTACAGAATGGTGAGCTAGTGATAAGTCCGTCGCTCGAGCGACAAGTCTCTACATAAAATAACATCGCGGAGCTCGAGCGAGGCATCAATGGTAGGTTAGTGACATAATGGGTTGCAATCCGTCATGAAGGCTGGTGAGTTTTTGGGCGTATCTTTACACTCACATCCTATTCTCTTCTATAAATAAGACCCCGTGGCACCCATTACTTCATCCTAATGATATGCAATCATAGCATAACATTAAAATCCATCTCTTCTTAGCCGAAATTTTGCATTAAAAAAATCGTTTTTCCATTTCATTTGAAGGGAGTACAAAAACTATCTTTTGGTTCGTTGTTCTTGTGTTTTTGGAGTGCTACAAATACAAGAAAGTAGTTGTTTTATCTTGAGAGTTGATTGCCATTATCTGTAAGCACTGTAGCAGGACAAAATCAACTTAATGACAAATAGTTCAACTTTTGCCTCGACTTTGCATCTATTACTTTTGGCGTTATTTCATCAATTTCTTGGTGATGATTTTATTGGTGCTTTACATCCATTTTGTTGGAGTTTCCCTGCCTTTATTCTGTCCAGATGTGATAAGATTGATCCATTAAAGTTATCACTCAAAAATATTTTACAAACAACTTGGGGAAATCCACATAAAAAAAAGCTACTAGAAAAACTCAAAACACAATTCAAATTGAATTACAAAATAAATAGCTAACACTATAATTTTCACAGAAATAGAACTTGAATTGAAAGTAAAATTAAATCATTACCCTATTCATTTTCATAGCCATTATCAAAATGGAGTCACGATCATCAGTGTTGACCTTACGCCAGTTTCGAACCTGTACTCGGATACCTTAATCTAGTCCTGGAACATAAGCTGTTTAGGTTTAGGTTTTAATGTTGTAACCGTGCTTTGAAACTATACCATACCAATTAAAAATAAGAAATTAAAAAAAAAAAAATTATAATCCTGCTAGAGTGGATCCAAATAGTACATGGGTCCAAATCTTAACCTCCAAAATAAGATGCTGCTACTAAAATAAAATAATGCTATTTGTACATCATGATTCATAGATTAATCTTCAAAATGATGATGTAGATTATATTAACTTACTTCTAATTGATCTCTCTCTCTCTCTCTCTCTCTCTCTCTCTCTCTCTCTCTCTCTCTCTCTCTCTCTCTCTAACNCACACACACACACACACACACACACATATCTACATCAATTCGTAAATCATGTACAAATAACGTTATTGATTAAAATATTAAGTAGTTTGGACAATTATTATTTTCCATCTACACTAATTTGATAAACCAATCAACCACCATCATTCATAGTCCATATTTCAGACACCAAACCTTCTTACAACCTCGCCTCGAACATTGAAAGCCAAACGGCCCATAAACATCCCTTAAAATCAAATTGTAGGGGAAGAAATGTATTTTGAAACACAGATTTTTTGAAAAATGTTTAATTAAATAAAAGATTTTTTTTTGATACACGTGGAATATTATTTTATTGGAGAATATGTGGTTAAAAAGAAAAAATAGAAAAAATTATTAAATTAAAATGGAGTCCAAATAGGGGAAAAATATATTTTATGATTAATGAACTAGCAACGTTAAATTGAACTTAAAAAAAAAGTGCATAAAGAAATCATAGTTTAAAATCCAATCAAACCATTAGCATTATGGTTTTTTGAAATCCTTTTAAACGGTTATATTTAAGTCAGTATTTTTCTCAAACCATTGTAAGCGGTTTGGTCTGAAAATAGTCATAGTGGAGATTACATATTAATAGGTCTTTTAAGTTTTCCAAATAAAAAATCAAGTATCAAGTTTATTTAACCAAAAATCAGGTATTAATTAAATTATTAATAATATTTTAAAATTTACCCACCACTCCCATTTGCCCATCGCCACTACAGAGCATAAAATATTTTCCCCCTTTCCCCTTTCACTCCTCTCACATGCCGCCTCGCGAGACGACGATGATGAGAAAACTACCGCTGCATGCTCGAATCTTCTACCTCTATCTCAATCTTCTCTCACATGGCCACCTACAAAGTGACATTTATAGAGCCACCGCACGTAGCGATAATGATGGAAAAAACAGTTGTTGATCGCTTGAACTGAAGCCCTAGATGGGGTTGCTATTTGGTGGCTTAGATTCATCAATGGATGACATCACTGCTTTGGTTGGTATGCCGCAATCTGGTGCACGAAGACGCTGGTTCCGAATCTAATGTTCATCCGCCCTTTTGTCATTGCTCAGCGCGATTTGGTGCGTGGTAGCGTTGCACGTGATCTGTGACGGTGGTGCCTTAGTGGTGGTTTTTATTAGATTTGTTGGTTTTTGGAGTGGTGCGTGATTTGTGATGGTGGTGCCGTGGTAGTGGTTTGCAGTGGTGCCGTGGTGGTGGTGGTTTTTGTTGGATTTGTTAGTTTTTGGAGTAGTGGTGACTTTTCATGTTTTGGTGTCGGAATGGTTTTTATTGGCGATTGTGGTGTTAGTGGTGTTGGTGGTGGTTGTGGCGATGGTGTGGGGACGACGACGGGGTGGGATGAAGAGTGTAACCAACCATTTATGTGTTTATAACCAACTATTTGATGATGGATCGAAATCTGAGGTTGGAGGGAAGGGGGGTTGTTTGGCATATGTGACCAACCATTTAATTATAACCGAAAAATTCAATAATTTGTAACTGAAAAACATTTTGTAACCCACTAATTTGAAAATTCGTGATCTATAAATTTTTAATTTGTGACCGTAAAATAATCCTGACTAATTAATTTGATAATATATGACTAATAAATAAGTTGTAACCTATAAGTATGTACATGTGACCATTAATTGTTTAATTGTGACTTTTATATATTTAATTAATAAAACATTAGTAATTATTTATTTATGTATTTTTTCCCAAAGTGGAAACCCAAGCCTAACCACTTACACACCTAAGTGAAAGAATATGACAAGAAACAAAATTTAAAACTTTCAGTCACTTGCAACTTAAAACAACTTAAAATTCAGTTACCCAATTGTCATTTCGTTGAAAATTGATGAGATTTACCTGTATAATTTTCCCTTGCTAAAAATGACTTAACAAGTTAACACCGGGGAATTCATATTATTACACCTGGCCCAATGAAAAAAATAAAAAAATCAATTTCAAACAATTTATCGTGTAGAAGTATAATATAACGAAAATACATGCCAAGACAAATGCCAAATTTGACATCACAAAACAGATTACCCTCAAAAAACCAGTGCCAGACGTATTGTACACTGCTAACTTTTAATGCGGTAAATAGTCCGGCTACATGTAAAACCATTTCTCACAAATTTTATTTTGATGACCTTTGTATTAACAAAGCAATCTGTAAATAACCATCAATGATTGATCTCATAGTTACCGATACTTTCAATAAATAACATCTCGGTAATATTGTACAAATTATTTATATAGTGGGGCGGCAGCCTCGATCCGACGGTTCATTCAATGGAAGAATTGTTGTATCTGAAAGTATCAAGAAAAAACAGCACGTGTTAAAAATCCAAAAAGGGCAAACCTTTTCATTGTTCTTTCTATATTATTAGTAAACAAGATCTTGAGAGCTTTTTCAACCCCCAACCAAAAAAGGCCCATATCAATTGTCCCCAATGGCACATCAGCACATTCTCTCTTCTTAACAAATAGGAATCTTAACAAATAGGAAAACGTCAATGAGTATTCTGCACAGGTGTCAAAAATGTATTGGGGTTTACTAAGGAAACATGAAGTTCAGGACAACAGATCTCAACTCCTCCTATCCATAGCGTCCCATGTTTGTTAACTAGGCCCTAGGTGAATAGGTGAAGCTAATAAAAACCAAGGTCAAGCCACTCTTTACAAGAATATTACTACAGGTCTCAGAATGATATCATCTTCCAGAATTTCAGTAATGAAGTACCTATACTCTTTACAAGAATATTACTACAGGTCTCATAATGATATCATCTTTCAGAAGTTCAGTAATGAAGTACCTAATCAACAAAGATAAAGGAACAAAAACAGTAAATATTTTCAAATGCTGCCTTAGTGTTCCTATACCCTTGAATACCTATTATTTTTCTCTTCAAACGCAGTCTACGACTCAAGGGAGGATTTCAAGTAAACAAACACAAGTAAAATTCTTAAAAAAGAAGGATTACCATAATGAAAGAGCATGCAACAAAAACTAGAATCTCACCTTAGGTAAAAGCAACTTTGTACCCGTCAATAATTCATATTCTTCTGTTTGAAAATTACATCAGTATGCTGCCAAATGCCCCTGCAGGTACTGGGGTTGAGTAAAAAAAAAAACAGTTGTAATTATATGGTTTCAATAGCATAGCTCATAGCCTTGTTTGAGCCCCATTTTTTGGGAAAAATAAATTTGGTAATAGTGATTTTTTAGAGAATGTGTGGTTAAAAAGTAGAAACAATTGCGGACTACAATTTACGATGATACTGAAGCTTAAAGGGCCTTCCAGGAATGATAATAGAAATATGGCACATGCAAAACTTCCCAATTAAACGATTGAAAGAACATATGGAGTGTAAATGTACTAATGCAGTTGGACGCACAATAAAACATAAGGTGTAACTGGAAGAGACAGGTTACACGAGATCAAGCTTCAACCCCATATTTATTTATATTGATGCTACAGATGCACCATCTTTTAAGAACACAAAATGGATTCATCTAAAAATCAGAAACTCAAAAGTTTTCCTACCACAAAAGTTACAGGCAAGTGTGGAAGTAGTACAAGAAAACACACCTGAACGTTTCCAGGAAACTTTAAAGCTTCCATCAACGGATCTGTAAATTACTAAGAAAGTCCGAGAGCCTGAAAGCATCATCGTTGAACACGAATAAATGGATCAGACAAGGACAAAGGGAAACACAATAAAAGAACTGAGTGAGAACAAAAATTAGTGGAAAAACACAAACCTGACATTTTTAGCAATCACCGTGTTTCCATCTTCTGCCCCAAGATGGCGAAGAACCACTTCCTCCAGCTGACCATCACGATATGCATGCTGTAAACGTAGAACACATGTACAAAGTAATTAGGGTTTAAATAGTAGCAAATGCACACACATGCGGCGAAAAGCACGGAATACGAGAACATCATGATACATTGATTTTACTGGACAATCCCATACATAGAAAATGAGAGGCATGCTATCTAAAATCTCATCCTTACAATCACATATCTAATCATTTTTTTTCGGTCCTTAGTTGTATATGTCAATCAACATCGTAGAATTCATTAATTAATTATGAATTGGCAACTAGACTGCAAATAAAGTAGTTTAATCGCTGAAGTTCAATTTGCAATGAAAGTGCAAACTTGGTTAGATGAAAATTAATATGCCGTTTTATTTTGTACAAATGCTGGTTTAGTCCTTCAACACAAATGACGTATTAAAACAATAAAATTAAGAAAAGAAAAAGGGGAAACTTGTCTCACCAATCACTCTTAAAGATCTTCATAACAAGAAAGTTTCAATGGTAATTCGTAATTAATTGATCAAGGCGAGACAAAACCTGGACTTTACTTCCCCAAGTTTCATTGACATCCTTCTCTATAACTCATTTTGAAGCAAGACAATCACATTAAATTTATAGTACTCATTAACCTTAGCTGCCACATCGTAACATGAAGAACCGAAAAACTGATTGTCAACTCTACACAAGCATATCATATTTTAAATTCAGTCCCGCTACAATGTCATTAATGTTGACAGTTATTTTGACAGTGTGTGTTATGTTAATTATACCCAAAATCTCTGATACCAATTATTGGGATTACGTATCGCTCGATACCACTTGATATGAAATCAACCATCGAATTGAAATGTTGAAATTATATGGCACTATGATGCTCGGACTCGGATACGGGAATCGGGTACGTATCTAAGTGTCAGATTTTTTATTTTCTAAAATCTAAGATACAGGGACATGGCTAAAAATAGTCCAAATTTTAGACACCGGTACATGGGTACATCTTTCAAACTTAAAATTTTTTTTTTTACTAATTCAAGATGTCATTTTGAATAAACCAAAATTAATTATTCACAATGAAGGAAATTAGTATTTAATAAGGGATTAAGACGAATAAAATAGAATTTTGGGGTTTAGTTTTCAATTATGGGAATTACTAAATGGTATATAAAATAGAAAATGAGAAATTTGATTGTAATTTGACTTATTGAAGCACTAAGTAGCACTATACGGAACCCATCTTCATTTTATACAAACAAAATCCTAAACTACCGATACAAAGAGAATGAAGGAAAAAAAGAAGAAAATGGAAAGAAAAAAGAAAGAAGAAAAAAAAGGTAAAACCTAGCGCAGCGGCCTTTTTCCACCCTCTCGACGACGCTAGGTTTATAGAGAGCAAAAGTGGAAAAGAAGAAAATGGAAAGAAAAGAAAAAGATAAAAAAAAAAGAATAATGAAAAAGAAGGAAGAAGAAGCAAAAACGACGAAGTGTCCGATTGAAATTTGGAGGATCCGAAACATCTCCCATATCCATACCCATGTCGTGTTGGATACTCAAAACTATTTCAAAGAGTCCGAGTATTATTATGGAAAAATATGAAGTATATGATCGCAAGCAAAAGAATAAAAGAAGACAAGAAAATATGGCAGAGGAATTGAGAGATTTTATTGCATCACAAATAATGATGGAGATATTACAATGATCCTAAAAGCTAGTAGTCACTTCAAAATGCCATATTTTAACATATCTTGAGTAATATTTATAGGGAACATGTAGGGTGATGTCCAAACCCTAATAGATGAGTTGTAGTTGAAGTAGAATGCCAAAAACATGTTAAAACGCGAAAACGGTTCGGGCCGGACAATCCTGTCACTCGAACGATAAGCTAACGACAGGTCCGTCGCTTGAGCTCCAGGCGAGTGACCAATTCTCGGGAGAAAACCTGCAGGTGTCGCTCGAGCGGCCAGCTAGCAAAAATGCGCTGACTTTTCTTCCCAGCCAATAATTTCAACTTCTTCAACTCCAATACAAATTCCAACTTCCAATAGGACTTCCAAATAGAATTTCAGCTTAAATAAGACTCTAAAAACATTCCAAATTGAATTTCTCTTGACGTGCACTTCAATTAGAATTTTTCAATTACTTTAACAAGGAATTCGGGTCACACCCAAATTCTAACGGTGTGAGATGGCACACATTTTTGCCATTGATTTCAACAACATTTAAAACAATCAATGATACAGACTTCTACACCTCACAAAATGTCAACACTAATGTACATTTTGAATGTACAAATATCATATTCCTTTTAAATTTATACTGGCAAACAAAATACATTACCATCGGAACTTCAAGACAGAAGCATTGCTAGTAGCTAACTCCAACACTAATACTAACAAAGTACCTAAAAGATCCAAACTACAGAACTCCCAATTGAACAGATACAACTCAACAGATATCAAGATGCACTCACAGTTTTCTCAATGAAATACAACTCAAGGGGTATCATTATTCTCATCACTCAAACTACTCGTATTAAAACCCTGTTGCAGGACATATGCCATTGGCTCCGCCATTACCTCTGCAATTTCATTTTCCAATTCTATAATATCACTATCATTCTCCTGTTCTTCCAATTCTAAAGGAATGTAAGGACTGTATAAGTGATCAAATACTCGTAAGCCACTCATATCAAATCTATTAGAGGTTGATTCATATTGATCCATGCCAAGTAATCTTGAGCTGTAAAGGTTAGAGTTGAGAGTAGCATTCCACAGAAATGAGCCAGGCTTGACATTATGCTGGAACACAACAAACTAGTATCCATTAAAGGGGCCATATGCCAATCAAGGCAGCAGAAAGTGAAAGAAAGGCACAACAAAATACAATATTCTGAGTATTGACAGTCAAATCTTGCAACAATAGCAGCTCTCCCAATTCATTACCAATTCCGAAAGAAGATGAGAGTTTCGAAAGCACAAGTTCTTTTTATTTTTTTATTTTTAGACACTAGGCAAAGAAAGATATCAGATATTCAATTTGAACAATTTTGGACATTCAACGGTAATACCCTACTACTGAACATTGATATTTTTGTCAATAAGAACTTTAAGTTCTTGAATTATGATCAACAAATAAAAAGAAGGCACACCTTATACAAGCTTAATCTATTCCTAAGTTGATTACTGTCTACCATTTCAGATTTCTTAGAAACTTCTCTCAGTATCCTTGAAGACTTCTAAACTTGAATTCTCTACCATTCCCGCATCTTCGTACAAGTCAATTCATTATTTACTTTAACTAACTACTGACCTCAATTTAATAACTTCATATCTTCTCCTTTCACATTCAAAATCCATTTTTATAGGTTTTCTTCAAAATCAAAATAAAATATCTATCATCTTCTACATACTTTGTATGTTAGACAACTGTGATTCCAAAATAGGAAAGAATACATCAAACTGTCTATGTACTCTGCATAATATTGGTTGAAAGATTATTCTCGATTTAACTTCCTAATCAATTCTCTGATGAAGAGAGCTCATCTACATAATTTTTAGAACTATTCTAAGTAATTCCAGTGTCCCAAATTATAAAACACATTCTATATTTTACCAAAAACAATCATGAGAAAGATAACTATGAAGTCTCACTCTTACATTCATTCTCACATTTGACAATGAGTAACAAAAATATGCAACAGTACAAGTGAAACATATTTTAAAATACACGACCTTTACTCCACACATTAGAAACATATATTAGCACCATTCCACACACACCCACCCCTTACCCTCAATTCTCGATAAGCATGACCAGCACCACCTACACCCCCCCGGCTGTAAATAAGCTTGATCTACTCGAGATAGACATAAAAGCTGATTTAAGATCTGATATAATTGAAAATGAAGAAAACTTCAACAAATTTTTTTGGACACAAACTGTTGAGCTCATCTTTGCTTGCTAGTTTAGTTTAAACCAAAAATTCAATCGCTAAATTATGATTTCAAGTCAAGCTTATATGACCTGAGGGGTATCTCAACGGGGCTCATCGACTCCAATATACCTCTAATCTGGACCTAGCACCACACAAATTCCCCAGCTCCCTTTGCCCTGACACCACTCAACTTCTTATAAAACCTATGCCAGTTGATGGCTACAAGTGTGTTACTTCACACCTCAATAGCGTGTGTTACATCCCATTTTATACTAAGTCAAAGTCGATAGTTTATTTCAAAGTCAACGGTTTGACTAATCAAAGTCAAGGTCAAATAGGGACTTAATTGGAATAAATTATTTTCTCGGGATTTATTTTACAATTGACAATATATGAGGGTCTAAGATGGATTAAAATTAAAGTTGAGGATGTATTTATCTATTATAGGAAGTTAAATGACCAAATGTATCATATGAAGGTTGGAGGGCTTCCTTTGCAATTAAGAGTTAGTGCTCCACTAACCTGGTTATTTAAAACTCATTTTCATTTATATATTGGGGAAACAAAACCGTAACGGAGGCTGGAAACGGAAGCTGAAAACCGAAAAAGAAAGGAAAAAAAAGGAGAAAAAGGAAAAAGAAAAAAGAAAAGAAGAAAAATAAAAAGAAGGGAAAAAAGGAAGATGAAGGAATAAGTGTTGATTTCCTTAATCTTGGGTTCAATTTATCTATTTCTTCAAGAGATATGGTATAATTTATACTTCATTTTTAGGGTTCTAATTTTTAGATTAAGATTAATGAGTACCATTGTTAGTTCCAGTTCTTTGATTCGGTACTTTTCATTTACATTAAGGTAATAAATACCATTTTTAGCAAACCCTAAAGTTTTTAATTGGGTTTTTGTGTAAAGATAGTATGTGGAAATGATTATGTTGATGGAATACTCATTTGGAAGAATGATTTATAAATTAGAATGCAAAAGTTAAACGGATTGAATTATGATTACTAGTTTTCACTAGATTTGAAGAAGGAATTGCTTTTATGTTTGGGATGAAGGTAATTGAGATAAATTAAAGATAAGTGAAAGGACTAGAAA